CTAAAGAGAAAGCACCCTTTATAAAATCCCTGCTCTATAGCTCTGTTTTAAGGGCTGCTATTTATCATTGCTCCTTTTTGGAAAATAAACTGGCACCTAGCTAAACCTGCAGCATACATACTAACACTAAAGAAGTTATTAGAAGTATATTTTTCTCTATTCATCAATACTAATCATGTGTAACTGCAGGAAATAGAAACAGTGACCTTAACCCTACATCCACAAATGAAAACTATACTGAAACTCCTCATAAAGCTGCTTGCATACATAGCCCATTTTCCAGACTTATTAATCATCTCCAACTCTGCTTCATCTATATGCGTGCAGCATGTTTTATTTAAAGAAAAACAATAAATATGTTTCCCCAGATGAAAAGGAGAGCAGCAGAGAAACTTTTGACAGTTGCATATTCAACGCTAGACACAACTAGAGACGTATTAAAGGAGGCAGAGTGTGATAACACATTACGAAACAAAGCCAAGTGTGTTTGGAGACAAGATGAGACGAGGCAGGAATCACAGAGCGACAGATGCAAGACTGAGTAGAAGATCTGGCTGTGGGAATGTAAATGTGTGCAAAAAAGAGAAAAGGAGGGAGATTAAAGGCTCCCTAAAACACCTCTGGCCAGCTGGAACAAATCAAGGAGAGCCCCAAAAAGACACAAAAACACAATCTGGAAATGTTTGTGACGCTCCATCAACCAGAGTCTGCATGAAAACAATCAGTGTTGAAAGAGCATAGCCATACCCTGCTATTAGCGCTGACCTCTCACTACCTAACATGTAATTAACCAGGTAATGGTGTGAGGAAACAAGCAGACACATTTTCAGGACCTGCTCACTCCCATGTTCTGCATACTGTTGCATGTTTAGAGCCTTTCAACTTCAGCAGGCAATGATCCCCGTTATTTAGAGAAGAAATGTTGATCTGGGTGTGAAGGCCTGACCTGATAGAATCTGCATCTTTTTTCACCATGCTGGCGTTTAGCTGTGACTCCTACCGTTTTGCACATCCAGGATGTGATGTTTGTCCAGCATCCATCCCCCCATGTTGGAAGCATCCATCTCATAGCCCTGCAGGACGGCTGTTCTTTTCTCCCACAGGATGAGGTCCAGGCACGACTCGTATTCAAACCCCACCGACACTGCGGGACACAGAGGGACAGCAGGCGGGTCCGTTTAATACGACGGGAGGAAAAAGCCAGATGCTTCAAACCAAGAATAACAGAGTTGTGGTTTTTCTGCCCACAGTGATCTCTGGACTACATCAGGATTCTTCACTCAGATTTATGCAGACAGAGAAACTCAGACTGTGAGATCACACGCACGCACTCTGGAAATAAAAGGAAGGTTTTCCCCAGTTCGCTGGGTAACGTGTGGAAATACGACTGCAATGCATTATGTTTTATCATTGCTCCTGTATGGAACAGGATTGAGGAGGCGCATTCACACATGCTGGCTGAGACATGGATATTTTCCTCTGAATGGCAATAACAAGTAAAAACTGGAAACACAGGAATACAATAGGACTGAAACAATTAATCAGATTAACTGTGATTAAACGGTTATTGAAATAATCATAAACTAATTTAGTAATAGATTAATCATTAACTGGAGTATAGAGACTCTATAACAGGCTTTTAGCTGACAGAGTGACCCACTTAGAGCAGCAATTAGACATGTTAACATTTTGAATTTATATCAAAAAATATATATTTTTCCTCTGTCAATCTGCTCTATCCAGAACATTTTGAGTTTAAAATGGTTTAATTTAATAAAAAAAAAAAATATTCTTTAAGGAACCTTTGACTATCAGATTATTAATTGATTAATCATAAAAAATTTTAACATTAAATTATTTGCAAAATAATCGTTAGTTGCAGCCATACAATAAATACGAAACTATGGAAACACCTGAATAAGATAATAAGATCAGACCAATGAACAGACTATTATTTCTCATGCTGCATTTATTTGCGTTATAGTAATAAAATAGTTTTCCATTACAGTTTTGTAAGAGCATTTTACTATTGTTATTAAAGTTTTATAATTATTTATATCTGCTAATTTTCATCTATTGGTTCCCTGTTCAGCAAACGTAACAATATCAGTCGTTTCATTAATCATTTTACTGTTTTACTTGTACCTGTAACCTCTAATCAGTCACTAAAAAAACCATTAGACCCAATTTTAAAGTCAGTTTGTCTTGTCAGGTTATCTCTATAGTTGTGTTGCTATAGGCTTAGACTGCTGGAAGGCATAGGGACCTCTTTTTCATCCTTCTACTTCATTCTATCTCTACAGGCGAGGGCAAGCGGCGCCAGCAGCTTGTTGCCCTCTGCCTGTCCGTGACAGCTGGGGCAGGAGATGCTGCGCCTGTGACCTTTTATTAGAGACACAGGTTCACACAGGTTCAGGTTCAACGTTACTCACTGAAACTACTTTAGATGAGAAATAACTTGCATTGTCAGCAGATTCAGTGCCATAAAAATAAAACAATTTTGATTTCCACCATCCTTGCAGTTTTGTCACTTCAATTTTTCAGAAATAATCAAACTTCAGACGAGCCTTGTTTGCTGCTATAGGCTTAGACCACTGGAGGACATAGGGACCACTTTTTCATCATTCTGCTTCATTCTATCTCTATTCTCCCTCTCTGCAGAATCTGTTAGTTCAATATCTAACGTTCTGCTCTCTCTGTGACTCCATCCTGGAGAGAAATATCAGCTGTGCTGCTGCCATCAACACCTTTGTTTCTAGATGTTGGAG